CCCCCCCCCCCCCCGGTAAAATGCATCAACCTGGTGCACTTTGAGGGGGAACTAAAGAGACTACACCCATATGAAACAGAACTGTATACATTTAAATAATCATAAAATCATAAGAACATGGCCATAACCAATAACATACCATGTCCAATATGAAAAAACATTGAAACTTGTTTATTTATTTGTTTTTGGTTCATTTATAGTTGTGAGTGTGTCTGGGCTCCTGACCCAGCCTCACCTGTCTCCCCCCTCTCCCCCTGCTCCTATTTGAGGCAACAGCAAAGACTAGTTTTAGCTCTCAACAAGTTTTTAAAGTTTACCTTACCTTTTTTCACCTACTTAAAACATTTGTTGTATTATTCATGCATATTTTACTAATCACTCCCCCTTCAAATGGAAATATGTGTTTACATAAATGGTGACCAAACCGTTTGAGACCCACTGAGATAACTTAGACTAAGTTAACTATCTAAACACTCAGAGAGTCCTTTACCTCACCTGAGCTGTAGTTATCAGTCTCTCAGTCTGACAGGAGAGGACTCTCCTAGACCTTGTTGACAGCTCATTATATCCGTTAGCGCCGCTAGCTAGCACCAGATACTAACAACAACAATACACGTAACCGGTGCGCGCGCTTTCTCTCTCGCTCGCTCGTGCCCGCCACACATACACACACCCTCCCGAGCTTGAATGACACACAGGCTGCTTCTCAGGTCGACTATTTTCATTTCCTCGCTCCTCGGTCCTCGGTCTCACCGGAAGTTGATTTGCCTGCGCATTCTTGAGTACCGTCCCATGGCTCTTATTTCTGCCGGAGGACCGAGGATCGAGGAGCGAGGAGCGATCATGGAGGAGCGATAACCGAGGAACCACCAGACCATCCTCCGATGAAATCCTCAGATACTCACCCCGCCCCCTTACTGTGTATCGCTCACTGATTGGACGAGGCAGTGCATGCACTGATCTGATGCTTCTTGACATGAGAGCAATACCCCAGCGGGAGTGAAGAAAATACATGAACCTCACGGGAGTCACTCCTCAGTTTATACCGTGTTTTGTTTCAATTAATGTATCATTTAGTTACAAATATGTGATCTGAACAAAAGTGGTCAAAAATCATTATTGGAAACATTTTCATGCTCGCTTTTTTCGTTTTACAGTTTCATTTATTGTCATTTCCATTCAGTCAGTCATTAAGTGCTATTAAAATGTGAATGTGCTACATATCCACACAAACACACAAAGTGTGCAATCCAATGAATGTTAATCTAACTGGGTTTTGATAGATAACATATCTCTTTTTCTTCTCTCAATTATTTTATTTCTATTGTGCACTCTAATCAATATTAATCAAACTATTGTTCGTTTTGTAGTGCCGTGAAAAGAGAGTCGGAGGCGGTGTATTAAGAATGGAGTTCCAATCTTTATTATCCATTACTTTCAGAGAGGTTAACAGTACACTGTCACTACCCGATCTGCAGCTCTGCCCGATCTGCTGTGCGCATGTGCGAGATGTTCGGCCATATTGGACAACGCCGGACGGCAAACCAAGTAGGACAAAATTGACATCTCGACCGTCTGAACCATTCGCAAGTTTTTACATGTGACAAAATATGCATTGCGCATTCGCGAGTTTTTACATGTGACAAACGGTGATTTGCATTGCATCTGACAGAATGAAGACTTTTGTATCTGACAGAATGAAGACTTTTGTGTTTTATTACAGAATGAAGACTTTTGCATCTGACAGAATGAAGACTTTTGTGTTTTATTATTTGGGGTTAAGACAGAGCCTATCATACTGAATACATATTAGAGCAAATCTCTGTTATCAGTCATTTTCTTCAGACTATTATTGCTAAATTTGAAAGAGTCCTTACCAGCTTTGGAATTGTGTGTATGTGTATATATATATATATACACAATTCCATATATATATATATATATAGCACCTTCTGCCATATCGTCACCCTTTGCAGTGATTGACTTGAACACTGAGAATGTTTTTATGAACTTCAGACATTTTCATATACAAATGTGATCATACACCAACACACATTTTAGAGATATACATTTTTCACACACAACCATTTACTAAATTAAACCATATCCCATCATAATACGAGCAAATAAGAAGGCACAGCAATAAATATATTGTGTGTGTGTGGGTGGGGGGGGGGGGGGGGTGTTAAGATCCAGGTCCAATGGGGGCAGAGGGGAGAGGTGGGAGAGAGTTCAGCATCCTACAGGAAATGTCATTTGCATGTAATATTATTTATTCATATGGATTTATATAACTGGAGTTTGTTATCCTTTAATTTTGCTTGATTAATTAAAAAAACACAAACACAAACATAAAAAAGGGGTCATTCAGGAATACAATTATTATATTATAAATAATAATAAAATAATAAATGATATTATAATATTGAATTAAATATTTTTTTGTATAGTATTATTTCATTTAGAAAGGCAATACAAATACAATAGAATACAAATACAATACAAAACTTGGGACAGAGCTAAGTAACTGATCAGTTAGTCACAACACAAAATAACAGGAGAATGAGAATTAATTACCTTTTACTGTAAAGTTCGATGACGCACGGCGCATTTGATCTCGCTCATTTTTAGAGAGGTCTGTGTGAAATTCACCTTCAGACATGTATTCTCTCAAATTGTTGTAAAACACTAAAGTCTTCATTCTGTCAGATGCAATGCAAATCACCGTTTGTCACATGTAAAAACTCTGCAAATCACCGTTTGTCACATGTAAAAACTCGCGAATGCGCAATGCATATTTTGTCACATGTAAAAACTTGCGAATGGTTCAGACGGTCGAGATGTCAATTGTGTCCTACTTGGGTTGCCGTCCGGCGTTGTCCAATATGGCGGACCTTCTCGCACATGCGCACAGCAGATCGGGCAGAGCTGCAGATCGGGTAGTGACAAACACATGGGCTGCTTCTCAGGTCGATTAAATGAAATCCTTGCTTCCCTCACTTGCGTCGTTTCCCTGCGTTTAGTCCCTCCCACCAGGGAAGCATGGAGGGACGCAAGGAAACCACGAGAAGCAGGGAAATGAGTTTTAAGAGCAATGGGACGTCCTTTCCTCCGGAGCGTCACGTGAAGCGACGTCCGTTTGTGATGACGCTGCACAGCTGTTCGTCTGGCAGCAGCCAGCTCTGTACCCGTTATTTCCACAAACACCCCCGCCTCTGTTAGTACACATTTACTGACATAAACATTAGTATCATCTGTTGTAGATCCAAATACATGAAATAAAATAAGAAGTCATTCTCAAAAAAGATAAACACCATTCTTAAAATGTATAAACGAAAAAAAGCGATCATGAAAATGTTTCCAATAAATGAATAAAAAAATGTTTGACCACTTTGTTGTTTAGATATATCACATATTTGTAAATGAATTGAAACAAAACACAGTATAAACTGAGGAGTGAGTCCCGTGAGGTTCATGTATTTTCTTCACTCCGCTGGGGTATTGCTCTCATGTCAAGAAGCATCAGATCAGTGCATGCACTGCCTCGTCCAATCAGTGAGCGATACACAGTAAGGGGGCGGGGTGAGTATCTGAGGATTTCATCGGAGGATGGTCTGGTGGTTCCTCGGTTATCGCTCCTCCATGATCGCTCCTCGCTCCTCGATCCTCCGGCAGAAATAAGAGCCATGGGACGGTACTCAAGATGGCGCAGGCAAATCAACTTCCGGTGAGACCGAGGACCGAGGAGCGAGGAAATGAAAATAGTCGACCTGAGAAGCAGCCATGCACTGCTCTGCCTGATGAGCTAGCAGGAATGGCAGCTAAAGCTACAGGTGTTCCCCACTAAAGGGTCCGTGTGGCAACACAATAAGCAAGGTGAATTATGTCCAATAACGTGTCACCACAGTTTATACATTTTAAGAATGGCGTTTATCTTTTTTGAGAATGACTTCTTATTTTATTTCATGTATTTGGGTCTACAACAGATGATACTAATGTTTATGTCAGTAAATATGCACTAACAGAGGCGGGGGTGTTTGTGGAAATAACGGGTACAGAGCTGGCTGCTGCCAGACGAACAGCTGTGCAGCGTCATCACAAACGGACGTCGCTTAAGTGACGCTCCGGAGGAAAGGACGTCCCATTGCTCTTAAAACTCATTTCCCTGCTTCTCGTGGTTTCCTTGCGTCCCTCCATGCTTCCCTGGTGGGAGGGACTAAACGCAGGGAAACGACGCAAGTGAGGGAAGCAAGGATTTCATTTAATCGACCTGATAAGCAGCCCAGGGCCATCGGGAAACCTCCCGGTCCTCCCGATGGCCAGTCCGGGCCTGGGCGTTGGCGTACGTTGACACGTCAGTGCTTCGCTCAGTTAGCTTAGTTATCTGTTCTTTGGCACAAGTCTCATACATTTCAGACGAGACATAACCACTTGAAGACACGTTACGGTCGCCTTGGCCAGGAAAAACAGGCACTCGCTTGTTTAATTATTTTGCGATCTAGATTTCTTCTTCTTTTTTGAAGTGAGAAGTTGTCCGTCAGTCGGACGGACGCCCCCCCCCCCCCAAACGAAAACTATTCGGTTCTCCACGAATTACACAAGTCACCCAAATCAGCGTTAAAAAAGC